GACGCGTTATCTTCTTCATCCTCATCACATATAGATCCGTGCTCATGGTATCTAAATATGTGCTTGTTCATTGCTCGTAATGTCAAGATCTAAGCTTGTTAGATCCAGATCCATGCTATACCAAGCTATCATCATGTTGTTGTGCATATGCTCATATTTACCCAAATCTGTACTCTTTTTCATTGTTACCGTATTTATTCTGAGTTTATGTATAAATTTCCTCTCTCCATTTATCAAATATATTTTTGTTGCAGGAATTAACATGAATTAAGATCGTTTCAAGCAAACTTGGCCAGCTTTTCTTATCATCTCATTGGATCTAATTATTTTTACACTTATATTATTTCTTATTATTGGATTGTTTATTGTGATGTTATGAGATCTGAATTTTGTTTATTATATTTTCCAAAGTTTAGCCTATTCTATTTATCAAATCTGATAACCGGTTTAAAAGATCCTTTTCCTGATAGTGTATAACAAATATAAACTTATTTATATGCTAAATAATTAATTTATACAAATTAAAAAAAATAGAGTTAGTTATTTATTAAAAATATGTTTAGTTTCTATAAAATATTTTAGATTTGACCATCTACATTGTAAACTACCCGTAGCATATTTTGCAAAAAAAATTAATAAATAAGGGAGGGAAAAAAAAGAGGTTTTACACTTATGATTAAATCAAAGTTCCCTATTAGTTCGTGTATTTAGAATTAAATGGAGCATTTGTTATTATACAACAAAAATTTTTCTTGATGCAGCTAATAATATATTTTACTAAATATTATCTTAACGAGAAATTCCTGTTTAGACTTTAGATTGGGTTAACTACGTATGAAAAAATAACAGTATGGAATCACACAACATGAATTGTCTATGCGCATGAATAGGAAAAGTTACACATAAATTTTAAATGAGAAAATTAATTACTCAAATACCTAACTACATGTATATATAAAAATTTGATATACTCCCTCTAGCAATAACCACTATCCTTTTATTTCTAAATATAAGCAACATTTACAAGTTATTTTAAATTTTTGTAGCAACTTTTCTATTTTGCCTCCATTAAATACTTATTTAATAGTCAAAATATTTTTTTTATTTTTCAAAACATCAATTCCTAGATAATAAATGTTCTCAAGATTATATTTTAATATAATTTCTTCCCCTCATACATTCTCTCTCTTTTATAATTCTCTTTATTATAATAATTTTTTTATTCTCTTTCTTATACTCTTCCCCCTATAAATAAGAGCATTTTGAAGGAAAAACTTTCAATTTTTATATGTTTATTATTTTTAGCTAATATTTTGATCTATGTGATTTAGTTCAAAGTTGCTTATAAAAAGGGATAGAAAGATAAATAAAGTTGAGAAAATAATTAGCCTTTTTATATACTCTTTTTGTCCTATTTATGGGGTAGAGAAAGAAGTTTTTTAGTCCTATTTATAGGGCGTAAAAAAATAAATTTTTCATATGAATGTACAACTTCATCTTTTATTAATTATTGTATTTGTTTTGGTTTTATGGATGTAATATATATTAAATAAGGATAAAATTAAAAAATTATTAAATTTTAAATAAAATTTAATAACATTTAAATTTTTTTTAATTTACATAAAATATATTGAAAGTGATTTAAGAGTAAAATTAGAGGAGTAATCTTATTAGCAAGTTTTCCAATAAAATATATGTATACACACGCACACAGACACACATATCCGCACACACGACGAGGGTGGGCCTAGTTTCAGCGCGCGCACAGTCATGCATGCCTGTCTTAATTTGTCTTCCACCGTCCTTGTGCCGCATTAAATGTTATTCCCGTGCTCTTTTTATCTTATAAGATATTTTTAATATGTTTTACATAAATTAAAAAATATTAAATTATATTAATTTTTTAAAATATAACAAATTTTAATTTTGTTATTATTTAATATATACACATTCCAAAAAAAACTATTTACTTCTTTACTCCTATAATCTTAAACTGCATTAATTTTTTTATAAAATATAACAATTTTATAATTTTATTCTTGTTGAACACATATATTTATAAAAAAAATAACTATCTATCTTATGATAAATAAAAAATAAAATAATATAATCGTGTTAAAAATTTAACGAGGTGATTTATAAAAAGAAATTTTTTTTTCTTTTTGCCTTATAAATAGTGGGAGTGTTTAATTTGTCCTGTCTTATCCTGCTCAATTCAGGACAGGATCAAAAAAATTTCGAGACGGGAACCAGGATAGGACTAGATGGGACCAGGTCATCTCGTACCGAGGTATTTTTTTAAAAAAATATTTATTCATAATTATTAGATTATTCAATTCCCTTATTAATAATAGTAGTAGTAGTAGTAATAAGATTTTTATAGTAATTTTCAGCTCTTAAATTATAATGTCATCTTAACAAAATCTCCTTCCGCAATAAAATAATTTATAAAATTATTATACAGTGTTTCTTTAATAGTATTTTCTTATAGTATTGTTTTTACACTTTTTTATATTATATAATTAAGCTTTCTATATAAATTTTTTATAATATTTTTATCTTTAGAAGTCCCAAAAAAAACAAACATTACAACAACAAAAAAATTTATACCCAAAATTAGTATAAAACATTTAGTAGATTTTGGGGGGGGTTAAATACAACAAACTTTCTTTGTTTATGTGATTTTGTTAAGTAGATATGTCTAAGGATGGATGGAGTAATTTTTATTTTATTTTAAATTCTCTTGGATAATTTTAATAAATAATAAATGCAAGTTCTCCTCAAATGGATAAACAAGTCATATTTCCAAAGAATATATAGACAATATATTTTATTAGAATTTTTATATTATTGTGCATGTGCTAAATGCTACTATTTTTGTTCCTAAATATAAGATTTTATTTGTAGATTGCAAATGAGATCTTATATTTAGAATTAGAAATATTATATTGCTGCTGGCTTCCAATTCTCCCGCGTTAATCACTCAAGAAATATGCAATGTTTGTTCAGGAAAAATATGATCTTAAAACTAACACTCGTGTTTTTATTGAAATATAAATATAAAAATAAAAATAAATCATTTTTATTAAGTAATAACTATAAAAGCATAATAAATTAATATACAAATAAAATAACTCTCATGTCTAATGTGCTAAAAATATTTAGGAAAATTGAAATGGAGAAGGCAAAAGGGATTAACATTAAAATATTAAATATTGTGTGTTTAAAATTATTCCTGGCATGAAAAGAAATTAAATAAAATCATATTGCATAATTAATTGTGTAGGTCTTACTAGAAAAAGTTTTAGGGGCATTTGAATCGGTTTTTTAAAAGCAATTTTAGGAAATACAAGGTAAGTATGTGAAAATAGTTTTATCCCAACTTATCTGAAATATTGGTATAAGTGCTTATAATTGTGATTCCTAACAAGACTTGTATCCAATATATTAAGTTCTCCAATCAAATATGGTTATGAATTTTTTTTCTGGGTTCATATGGATTTATAATTAAATTTTATTAAATGCTAATATTTAAATAACAGGATTGTATCATTGGATAATACTACCTCTGGCTTTAATTATAAGAGTCAGTTAACTAATTTGAGGAGATTAAAGAAGTAAGTTGAGTTAGTCATTTGTCTTAAATAGGTGTTGTCTTTTCTAAAATATCATTGCTAATCAAGTGTATTGACTAGAACTCTTATTATTAGAAGGACTATTTTGAAAAAAAAAATACAAATATAAGAAACAAAATGGATTGAGATCTTATATTTATGATCAAAATAAAAGTCAAATAGGGTCTCATATTAAGCACAGGAGGTAGTAATATGAACAACTCACTAAATATTGTTCACTTGTTTAGTGAATTTTGCATGGCTCAACGCCCATCTAATTCTGTAAAAACCATTCCAGGCTCCGATCTGACTTCCAGTTTTATTTTAGGTTGAATCCAGCTCAATCAAGGAAAATGATTCTATGATCCAAACCAACACATCAGTAACTCCAGTGAGGAGTTCAACCATGGGATCTATCCATACTAGTCGGTTTTCAAATCCCGGGCTTTAATCTGAAGGCTTTGAGTTTGATTCTGTTCAAATTAGTCAGATGGACGAAGCAGTGATTATTATGTTTATCTTTGGAAATGAAGAAAAAGTTGGTGCAAATATGGGTTAGCTGGTAACTAGCCAAGAAACTTGTCTACTTGTCTCCCTCCACATGGTCGGAGACTTTCTCTCTCTTACGCACACACACATTCTCTCTCACTCTGTCGCTCTCATACGTGTATTGACACGGTCTCGCTCTGTAACGGCCCATATCTCACCTCTTGGTCCCTTCTATTTATAAGAACGCATAAGCGTAGCGAGACTTGCCTCATTGCTACTGCGAGCAAGCGTTGAGAAGCATTTCCACTCTGAGCTTGTTTCGGACGCTTCTTTCCGAATTGATACGAAAAGATTCTCATCCCTTAAATTTCTGGGTTCTTGAATCTTCGGGTACTGCCTCCTCTCTCTCGCTCTCTCTAAAATTTCCTTTTGCTTCTATGGTTATTGAAACTGCTACAATGGTGTTCACTTCGTAATGCTGTTCAGATTGTCTGGAGTATATGAATCCAGATTATGTAGATTGGTTGTATTATGCTGCAATGTATCTGATATTTCTTCTCTTTTTGGTTTTTGTCTGCTTGGGACTTTACGATTTGGTGAAAATTCCCACGATCCGTATTTCCATCTCTAACTGGGTTTGTCGGTGGTTTGTTATTCATCTTGATTTGGAGACTTGTTTGGTTTGATGGTAGAGCATTTGTTAGAGAAAAATGGGAGCATAAAATTGTTCTGGGGGATTATTTCTTGATACAGAATGAATCGTGTACTGATGGCTTTTGCAGATCCAAGTGTTATTTCTAACATCCCATTTGAAATTTTTTGTTGATCAGTTTGATGAGAATGGCTTGTGTTCTTGCCGGTGAAAATGCATCTCTTTTTCAACAAGTTCCTATTGTGCATTCTTCTCCCCCCAGATAGTTACTTTTATGAGTATTGATGGACTTGTGTTCTAAGTTCTTTTGATGGACTTGTTGAATAATGAAGAATGGTGTGAGTTCTTACAGCTTGCAGAATCAGGAGTATCATACTGCATTAGTTATTCCTTAGACACTTCATTGCTGCAGATGATCATGACCACTGGAAAAATGCATTATATGATATCGAAATTTTGATGATATTGTAAACTTTCGTCTTTTTACAGGATCTTGGACTGCATTTAGCCGTACAGATTTGTTTTATTGCTGTATGGCGATTTCCCTTTCATGTTCATTTGCAAAGTACAATGATGTGGATGATGGCTTAGACTCTTCTATGGCAAGATCCATCAGTTTTGGCAAAGAAGTCAAGACTCTAGTTCGGTCTGTTAGTTTCAAACATCTTGGTTCAGAACCAACGATAAGGAAATGTCTTGGCTCTGGAAGGATGACAATAGAAAAATCAGTGAGCTTCAAGAGGAATGATATGGAGAGAATTATTACAGCTAAGACTCTCTTATTTGACAGTGAGAAAATCATGACTACCTCAAGAATGAGCCAAAACAGAAAAGAGATGGATGATCTTGGTCACTCTTCTAGATTAGACTGTAAAGAGGAAAACATCCACTCACAAACTTTGGATCTAAAAAACCCAAAACACATGGCTGCTGTTAAATTGCAGAAGGTATATAAGAGCTTTCGTACCAGAAGAAAGCTAGCTGATTGTGCAATTCTTGCCGAACAATGCTGGTACTTGCTCATTTCAAAACAAAAGCCTGCTCTTCTTCATAAAATATCTCTCTGTTTTTTTCCCCCAATTGATCTGGACCTTTGTTTCATTCCTAGGTGGAAGGTCCTGGACTTTGCTGAACTCAACCGCAGGTCAATCTCGTTCTTTGACATTGAGAAACCTGAAACTGCTACTTCACGCTGGTCGAGAGCTACGAGCAAAGCTGCTAAGGTATGTCTCATATCCAGATGCTTAGAAAGTTTTTTACCCTTGTTATGTCATGTCAATGCTTAGGGTGGATGAAAAGGACCGTAAGCATTTCTTTGTTGTTGCAGGTTGGAAAAGGTCTATCAAAAGACGAAAAAGGTCAAAAACTTGCTCTACAGCATTGGCTGGAAGCGGTTAGTAAGATGCATGATCTTTCTTTCTTTACAAAACAATGTCTGGGTCTTTCAGCAATAATAACCTTTGAAATTCTCATGTGTGGAACAGATTGATCCGCGTCACCGCTATGGACATAATCTGCACTTCTATTATGACAATTGGCTCCAGTGTCAGAGCAGGGAACCTTTCTTCTACTGGTAATATTCTTTGTGAAATATCTTTCTTGTGGTCACAACTCACAACTTAGTCTATTACTCTATTGTTTGACATAACTTCTCCTTTGACATTTGCAGGCTAGATATAGGACAAGGAAAGGAAGTAAATCTTGAAAAGTGCCCTCGATCTAAACTTCAACAACAGTGTATTAAATATCTGGGTCCGGTAAGCTTTCCAACATTTACACAAGTATCCACTAACCATGCATATTTACTCTAGCAACCTTTTGGTTGAGTTTATATTCATTACTTTTGTTCTTCAATTTTGCAGATGGAACGGTTGGCTTATGAAGTCGTTGTTAAGGATGGAAGGTTCTTCTACCAGCAATCTGGAGAACTCCTTCACACTAATGGAGAAGGTGGGCATGCCAAATGGATTTTCGTCCTAAGCACATCGAAGAGCTTATATGTTGGTATGAAGAAAAAGGGTTCTTTTCAGCATTCTAGCTTCTTGGCTGGAGGAGCCACATCAGCTGCTGGGAGATTAATTGTTGAATACGGTGTCTTAAAGGTATATAGAATTAGTAAAAGGCTCATAACTATCCTGGAACAAATATTTGGTTTTATAAGACTTGCCTCCTTAATTTTTAATCCTTGTATTTATTCCTCCATAGGAATTAGTCCCTCAAACTTTTTTCAACTTGTTACACGTTTATTTTGATTAATTTAGTCCAGCAGAGAGACTAACGGTTAACATACTATACCCTGAGGGATTAACTCGTGTGGAGGAATAAATCAAGGAATTGAAACATTAGAAAGTATATCTTCCAAGGGCCGATTTGTTGTATTTACTCGTTTTTACTTTACTATTTTATTTGTATCGCTAAAAATGATCATGTTATTTGTTTCTAACAGGCAGTTTGGCCTCACAGTGGCCATTATCGTCCAACCGAAGAGAATTTTAAGGAATTTATTTCATTCCTTCAGGAGAACAATGTGCACCTCTCTGATGTCAAGGTATCAGGAGAAAAATCTCGTTTCACATTCTGTTGTAATGCCTTAGATCTTTATAAAACATGTAAAAGACAGGAGGACAATGTCTTATGGTACTGTTATGTGCTATGTGCAGATGAATGCAGTTGACGAGGATGAGTTAGAGTCAGAGAAAAGCAAGAAGCATCTTAGAAACCCCTCATATATAAAGGACATGACCGAGGACATGAGTTGCTTGGAGGCTGAAGAGATCATTGATGAAGACGGGGATTTATTAGAAGATAAAGCCAATTTATCTCAGAAAGAGAGTGCCTCTAAGATGGCAGCGCCTAGAACAAAGCTTTCTATTCTAGGAAGAGAAATAAGCAACCTTGAAATCCCGGAGAGGGGTACAATTTGTGGGAGTTTCCAAATGGAGTCTCCTAAAGAAGTTCAAGAAGGTGCACAAGCTTTTGTTTCAGAGCCGGATCACATGGTTCAGAAGGAAAACTCTTCCAAGGAAAAACAAGATGAGACGGATGGAGAAACCATTACAACAGAGTCAATACTTAAAAGGATTAACTCCCACAAGGGAATGAAATCATGCCAACTGGGAAGACGGTTATCTTGCAAATGGACTACCGGAGCCGGGCCTCGCATTGGTTGTGTGCGGGATTACCCGAGTGAACTTCAGTTCCGAGCTTTGGAGCAAGTTAATCTGTCTCCGAGAAAAAGCTGCCTTTCTAAATCATCATTATCTCCAAGAACCCCCACCGGGTTGAGCCGAAGAGTTTCAACACCACAAAGTCTGTTTAGCGAGACAACAACCATAGGGATGCCATCTGAAAGTGATGATCAAGACTCAAGATCAGACTCCTTGCCATTATTTCGAGGAACATCAGTAATACCAGTTATTTATACTTCATAACGGACCGAAGATGATTCTTAATTTTTCTTCTGGTAAGCAAAGAGGATTCATAATTTAATTTGTTCTTTTGTGTGAATAGGAACAAAGACAATAGAATATTGGTCATTCAGTCCATTAATTCCCATAGGAATTCTTTCTTTAAAGTAGGCTGGAAGCTGTAAATGTTTATAGAGTCTATACTCTATACTGTCCTAATAGAAAGGAAAACAGATTCAGTCCGCCATAACATTTAGAAGCCATGGCAGATTTCTGACGTCAGATGATTTTTTTTACCATATCTTGTTTGTGTTTCTTTTTTTTTTTTTTTTTTTAAGATAAGTGTAAAAAAATGTGACTGTACCTTTTGCTGATATGTTCCTCTCAATTGCAAAGAGACACAAGGTTTTTTATTACCTCCTTTTTCCCCCACGGCATATTATGCTTCTGTTTCTAAAGCACGTCAGTCGAGGATGTTGTTTGTAATGGCATGGGTTATGATGATGAAGGCAGTTTACAACTAGCCCAAACTAGCTGATTTGACCATAAAATCAGTGTATCACTGTTTGGTTTGGTTCATGACAAAGTTAAAATCTTAAATCAAATACCTCCTTTGACTTGAAATGTAACAGCTAGATAATTATTTATAAAAATTAAAAAAATTAATTACACTAATTATTTATAATAAATGTGTGTTAATTTCTTAAAATATTTCTTTTAATCATTTATATTAAAAATTACCTTAATTGACAATCACTATGATTGTTTTGAAAAGTAGTTATAATTTCGTGAGATAGAGTTAAGATTTTTTATTTTGGATCAAAATAAATCTCTCAATTAACTTTTATATTTAAAACTAGAGGGAGCATCTTGAAAACCAGTCAAAAGTTAAAAATAAAATAAAATTGAGGCTTTATTCTTCTTTTGTTTTAGGTAAAAATTGCTAAAAACGAGAGAATGTGATGCTTATGAGGTATGAGTGCAACTTTGGATGTTTTGATTTAAAAGCTTTCTTCACGCCCTTAACCCTTTTAAGAATAATGAACAGAATCGAGTTTTAAGATGATATCAATTTTAAACATCTATCACTGATATTCTAAGCCATTGATATACTTGGACAAAGATTGAACTTATGTTAACTTCTTGTTTTTTGTAATTTTTCTTCTTATCACGGGAATCCCTTGGGTAGTTTATCAAAAGTAGGGTATCTATTGAAAGAAGAGTATTTACTATAAAGAGCGAAGGATTATAATTGCTCACTGGTGTCTGATTTAAACTTCTGGATTATAATGGAGAAAGTCTCACAAGATTTTTAAGAATTGGACTTAAGTTTAAGCAGATAGGGTCGAATCAAGATAAGTCATTGTTTATAATCTCTATATCCCTTGTCACATTACATTTTCAGCTCATATATTTTATGTTCTGCTTTTGTGTTCAAAACTGTATTTGAAATGTTTACTGTCCTTTGAAATTCGCATTCGAACTTGGTTTCACTTGTGAAAATGGTTTGAAGCATTTTTGCAAATAAGCTTTTAAATTTGAATTGATCAAACACACTTTCGCTCTCTATTTTGTTGTAAAGTTCTAAAAATTTGATGAACACTCAATTCGTCCCAATTTGGATGTATTGTCATTTTTTTTTTGTTAAAGTATAGGTATCCTTCTATTAAAGATAATTCTATTCGAGGTACAATCCCAATGGGGATTTCTGCATACGCTGATGCTCGAACTTGAGACCTCGTTTAAGCGGTACCAAGCCGCTTACCACTTGGACCAATCCCTGTTGGTTGTCATTTTGAATGCGTTTGAATAAGTCTTTCATTCTTTTTTTTTTTTGGGGGCAAATGTACTCTTTCATTGGATCTTGATAGAAAGGTTATATTGGGACATTTAATGGTTTGGATAACGTGAATGTTTTTGGAATGGACTTGGGCCGTGACGGACCACATAGTCACTTTGACATGTTGACTCTTGGAAAAGCACCCTTAATCTTTGTGTGCGATTATTCTTGTGACCGTCCCAGAGAGAAATTAATGTTCAACATTATTTTAAATAAGATTACCTTCAATAACGATATATCTATCCTTATAAAAAAATTTCTGGTGACCAACGGTTCTATGAAAACTCTAACGACTTGTTTAGCATGATGGAATCAGAAGGTGTGAAAATAAAATGAAATTAATTCTCGTCACAATATTTATTTGAGGGAAAATAACTAAAAAATGACACTTAAAATTAAAAATCCCTATGTAGTCACCTAAATAATGAACATCCCTTTTTAAGCACACATGACCAAATTGGAATTTTAAAATTTGTTTAAAAAGCCAAATTGTCCTTTTTAAAAAAAAAAAAACCATCAAACACTCTCACCAGCCGGCCAATCACCAGATCTTTGGCACCAGTAGCCATCTTTGGAGTTGAGATGGTGGCAACTATTTTTTTTAGAATTTTTTTCAAGTCCAGTAATGTGATTAACAAGTTCTGTAATATGATCAACAAGTTCATTATAACATTTAACAACAAATTTTTTAAGAAATTCAAAATTTGGCATTTTTACAACTTTAATAACGTAGTTAACAGATTTTTTAATGCTATTAACAAATTTAATAAAACAGTTAAAATAGGTCTTTTAAGAAATTTAAAAAATGATATTTTTTACAACTTGAATAATACAATTAACAAGTCATATAACAATATTAACAACTCTCATAGTGCCAATAATAACTCTAATAGTAAGTCATGTAATGATATTAATAACTCTCATAACCATAGTGATTATCTAATAAATAAAAACATTTTGTTGTGCAATCTTTATAGGGAGCTAATATTAAAAACACCAACCTTTATAGGAAATTTTGTTAATGGCATTATAAGAGCTGTTAATATCATTACATAACTTGTTAACCGCATTACTAAAGTTATAAAAATGTCACTTTTTCAATTTCCTAAAAAACTTATTGTTAATTATTATACTACTATTATACTGAATTTGTTAATAGCGTTAAAAAACTTGTTAACTGTGTTATTAAAGTTGTAAAAATACCAATTTTGAATTTTTTTGAAAAACCTATTGTTAAATGCTATAACAAATTTGTTAATCGCATTAAAGAACTTATTAATCATTCCAAAAAAATAGTTGTCAATTGTTGAAGGTCTAGTGACGGGTCATTGGTCGGTTGCTAGAGCTTAGACGACTGGCAACTAGCCCGAACTCCGATAGTAGTTATTGTTGCTAGAGCTCCGGTGATTACTCGACCGATGAGGATGCTTGATGGTACTTTTAAAAAAAAAAATTTAAGGACAATTTGACCTCTTTAGCAAATTTCAAAATCCCAATTTGATCATGTGTGCTCAAGCAGGGATTTTTATTATTTGGGTAACCAAATAAATATTTTTAAATTTAATTATCATTTTTGTGTCATTTTTTCTTTATTTGGTGTGATGAAATTGGATGTTTTTCCAATTTCACTTCCACCAAAATAAATGGAATTGGCTTCCACCATATGCCCCTAGGAAATCAATTCCATTTCCACCTATTCCATTTTCACGCTCTCTTTTTACCTTTAACCTAAACGCCATTTCACCACATAGAGTTGGTAATGCCTGCTAGCCTGCTATGAGTTAGAGCACATGCTGGTCAGTTCTAAAAAGACCACTTCTTAGTAGGTTGACATTCAATCAACACAAGCTCATTTAGGTTAGTAGATTGACTCACTAACCACTTTTTTAATTTTTTTTTACATTTATATATATAAATTTTTAAATCAAATTATAAACTTCTATAGATTAAATTCTCCATATTTTTATATTTTCATAATTATATAATTAAATTAATCTTAAAAGTTGCAAATATAAACATATAATTCATTTTTTAATAATTATTTTATTAATACAAAAATGATTAAATAAAAAAAATAAGAAATCAAATTTAAAATTAAAGCCTCTAACTTATTCATGTTAAGATCAAGTTTACAATTTCACTTCGAACATCCTGTCCATAATATAAAACTCAATTAATTAATTTGAAGAGATTAAAAAAATAAATAAGTAGTTTAATTATAGCATATGTACATAATATATTTTGGAATACTTATGTATATTACTATATTATATATCAGTCTATATGTTTAAAAAATTAATTTAAAGAAAAACGATACATAATAAAATAATTTATTTAAAGACTAGAGGTAGTATGGTGTTTATAATATTGTTTTAAACCTTCAAAATAATTAGCCTCTTGTTATAGTGTAGGAAAATTACACACATGCTACTTTTTGGTTTTTAATATAACAGCTAATTAAAAATTAAATTTGGTTATAAATATAAAATATTAGTTCACTTTATTTTCTAAATTCATAATTCATTCTTTAAAGTATTTTTATTAATCACCTATGTCACGGTTTTCATCCAAAAGTAGTTACGATTAAAAGGGGTATTTTAAAAAAATTAAGTCATATTTGTTATAAATAACTAACTTAGCTTAACTAATTTTTTCAATCTATTCAAATTGGTTAAGCAACTATTATACTAAAGACCAAAGGTAGTATCATGGACAGTTTGTTTAAAATTATAAAAAAGTAGTACTACCTCCGGTCCTAATTATAAGAGTCAGTTGACTAATTTGAGGAGATTAAGGAAGTAAGTTGAGTTAGTTATTTGTCCTAAATAGATGTTGTCTTTCCTAAAATATCATTGTTAATAAAATGTATTAACTAGAACTATAATTATTAGAAGGACTATCTTGGAAAAAATTGAGTAAATATGAGAGACAAAGTGGATTGAGGTCTTATATTTAGGACCAAAATAAAAGTCAAACAGGGTCTTATATTAAGGACCGGAGGTAGTATTTGGTAGACTAAACGTGAGAAGATTATTAGAAAGATTTAAACTAAACACATTACAGATGCATTGAAAAAAGCTTATTTAATAAATTATTTGGTATAGTTTATCAAGTTGAAGGTTAAAAATCCTTTTTTAAACAAAATTTTAATGCTTAGCTTAATTTCTCCCAAATATTATATAGATAATGACTTTTATCGATTCTTATTTGTTTCCATCAATTTTAATACTGTTCATATAACGTTTTGGATGAGAATCTGATTTACCTTGGATTCGGAGGGGCCAATCTAAATATCTAATCCAATTTTCATAATGTTTTTAAATTA